AAAAAAAAAAAAAAAAAAAACCCACCAAGGACAGTTTGGTTTATGGTTTTAGTAGATAAATTGGGAGATGTAACTTCCTCACTATCGTTCTTAAGGCATAAATGTCAATTAGGATTTGAGGCTATGTTTTACATTCTGTGATTTAACAGTTTATAAACTTCCGAATAAAAAAAAGACGGTGATCAGACTAGGCCCAAAACTAAAGACTTTATTGCCTGTTATGGGCTTTTTATAGTTCCTCCAACTAGGCCCAAAACAGAGCTTTCTACAATCCTCGTCTCACACCGGAGGAATTCAACTCATTTACTTCACCACCGTTTGTTCTTTCTTTCCCGATCTGCACCGCCGATTAGTCTCCTCCCAGGTAAAAAAGCCTTCTCCTTCAGTTTCTACTCTTACACTAGCTGTGTTTCTAATTATAGAAAGCTTTAGCTTATTAGATTAGCAAATTCCGGGATCTAATTGTTTCCCCGAGTTGATCATTGTTAGTTACAAAACCTGATTGTATTTGCTTAATCAGTTGTGTGTGTTTTTTTTGGTTGTATAAGGTAGCATAGATTGCGTGGGGATGTCTTCAGCGCAAGATCCATTCTACATTGTTAAAGAAGAGATCCAAGATTCTGTAAGTGTTGTTTATATTCAGACAGAGATGTTTTTGTTAGGACACTGATTTAATTTTGTTGGATGTTTTTTTTTTTGTTAGATTGATAAGTTGCAATCTACATTCCACAAATGGGAGCGTGTCTCTCCTGGCATGGGTGATCAAGTCCATGTCACTAAGGAGCTTCTTGCTAATTGTGGCAGCATTGAGTGGCAGGTACTCTTATTAATTTAACTGCTTTTAGAATATGGTTATGTATGGATGCTGACAAGTTCATCTTGTAGAATGTATATGCTAATGTATAATTGTCAATGCTCAGTTATCCAAACATGATTAAAATGCAATAGAGTAAGTAAGTTAGCCGTTCGGATTAGAGTTCTTTCCATGGGTATTGAAGCTGTTCTTGCTGATAGGAAGGTAGATGAGCTGGAAAAAGCGGTGGCTGTTGCAGCAAAAGATCCTGCCTTGTATGGTATTGATGAAGCTGAGCTTGAAAGACGGAGGAGATGGACTAGTAATGCTAGGACACAGGTTACGATTCTAAGCTTTCAATGAATAATACTGCTTTACAGTTTTAGGGAGTGGCATAAGTGTGTTGTTAACTGACTTGTGATTATGATAACTTGTTTTCAAGGTGCGAAATGTGAAGACTGGTGTCTTAGCTGGAAAAGGTAGTGCTGGAGCTAGTAATGCAAGTGAAGTGCGTCGAGAGCTAATGAGAATGCCAAACTCGAATGAAGCAAGTAGATACGATCAGTACGGAGGAAGAGATGATGATGGATTTGTACAGTCAGAATCAGATAGGCAAATGCTGTTGATCAAGTAAAAGCTCTTTCTGTCGTTTTACATCATTTTGCAATCTCTTATTTGGTTTATTATGTCACAGTGCCTTCTGCTTGATGAAGAATTGAGTAGCATAGTTGTTCAAGCAGAGTAGGGTAGTAACTTGACAAGAACTTTTTGCTCCACTTCAGGCAACAAGACGAAGAATTGGACGAGCTGAGCAAAAGTGTAGAGAGGATTGGAGGAGTGGGGCTTACAATACATGATGAACTTGTTGCACAGGTTAGTGATATAACGAATTTTTTTAATATTTTGCAAGGGTAATAAACATCAATTTCTTTTGTTTTGTTTTGGTGGGTGAATTGTAGGAGAGAATTATAGATGAGTTGGGAACGGAGATGGACAGTACAAAGAACAGGCTAGAGTTTGTTCAGAAAAAAGTGGGAATGGTAATGAAGAAAGCAGGAGTTAAAGGGCAGATGATGATGATATGTTTCTTGCTCGTCTTGTTCATCATCCTTTTCGTTCTCGTCTTCTTGACCTAAACACCGCAGCAGAATAGTTTTTTTTTTTATGTTACTTTATATGATGTTGTGTGGGTTGAAACAGAAAAGAAACATAAAAAGTAATGGTTTGATTTTTCTTCACTGAGATTGAAGTCTATTATATATATTTTTTTTTGTTGGATTGAGAAATGAGCATTTCATTGCAAACTCAGAAAACATTTCCCCATACTACCGAATTTGTTAAATTATGTCAAGGTCGATTTAAGTCTTTAAGGTGAAGTTATAAATCTCTGAATTTCCACAAAAACAAACATTTTTTTTTAAAGAAAAAGGGGTCTAATTGAAACATTTAGATACTAATGGACCTTATATGGGAAGAAAAAGAAAAACAAGGGATCAAAGTGACAATATACGATAATAATAAGAAGATCCGTCGTAGAAAGAAGATGCGATGCGAATAGCCTCCGTCCCCGATTCAGAACTCTCATCTAATGATTCTTTGCTTTCAATAGATATATAAGATTCTTCGCATTCTTGCTCTATCGCGAGAGTCAAGTGAGAGATAGTTTTGTAGGAAGAAGGAGAGGAAGATGGTGCTGCCGTTGATGAAACTGGGGACACTTCTGGTGAAAACGATAAGTAAGCCATTGGCGAGTCAGCTCAAGCACCAAGCCAAGGTTCATCCCAGGTTCCGCCAATCCATCATCAACTTCGCTCAGGTGATTGCAGATTCTATCATGTTATCTGGAAAAATCTACGACTTTTTTTGGTTTGGGTTTTGGATATTAATATGATTGATCTGGAATTTGATATGATGTGATCGTAAATGTGATATATAGAGGAACCATAGGATAACGACGCAGATACAGAGGAGGATATATGGGCACGCCACTGATGTGGAGATTCGTCCGTTGAACGAAGAAAAGGCTGTTCAAGCTGCTGTTGACCTTATTGGAGAGCTCTTCATCTTTGCCGTATGCTCTCTCTCTCTCCCTCTTCCATTTTTTTTCACAATTATCTCTTGTTTTAAATGGTCTAATGTGAACAAAAAAAAAACTGGATCTTTTTAGCTTTTACCTACCTGGTCAAGAAATCCATATAGATAAGATAAACAGCCTTATTTGATACCTACTTAAATCATCCTTTTGGTACTCTATTTCTTGTTTTCCTAATAAGTTTTGTCTGATAGCATAAGGCGCTTCTTTGTTACTTTCGTCCATCAAGTGCTTTCACTTTGTTTCGAGTGGGAGATTGGTGTCAGTGTCGGATCAATTTTTTTTTAAAAAAGAAGCTAGTCTTGAGGGGGCGTGTTCTTCTAAGCAATTCTGATTTTTTTCTGTAGAACTAAGAGTGGGATTATATATCAACAGGTCGGTGGGGGAGTTGTTATCTTTGAGGTGCAAAGAAGTTCGAGGTCAGAAGCTAGAAAAGAGGAAGCCCGTAAGCAGGAACTAGAGGTACACTTTTTGCCTCATTTAGTGTTAGTTTCTCTTTTCTCCTCAGGATTTATCTATCTTTTCTACACAGACACCCACCCTTAGTTAGTACTTCAAAATCAGAGTGGGATGATGCATATGTGCATTAAAGATGTATGTTGTAGGAGTGGTTCATCTATGCAACATTCTTGTAAATAGAATTAGGTTGCAACTACTTTGGAAACCAGGGGGTAGATGAAAGAGTAGGAAATTAAGTATCAATTTTGAGGTTTGGTGATTGAGATTTTTGAATCTCTTTGGCATCTGCAGGAATTAAGAATAAAAGATGAAGAATTGGAAAAGAAAGTGGCTGAACTCCAAAGCAAATTAGCGGAGGTTGAAGAGCTTGCCAAGGCACGAGGATTGACTGGTATTTTTAAGGTAAGACAGCAACCCTGTACTGCTGCTACTACAAAGGGTAGCAGCGAGAAACCAGATGAAAAATCCAGTGAACCTTCATCTTAATCAATGACCAAGACTCAACCAAAGTTAACAATAAAATACTGGTAGTGATTCTTTAAGAGCGAGGAGTCTCTGATCATCACATTCTTGTAGATCGAGCATCATAGATACATACATGTACCGGCATCAATTCATCACCATTAAGAATAATCTGCTTTATAACAACTATCTAGGCAAATTTAAAAAGTTTTGATGTTGAGGTCTTAGTGCTCGTGCTTATTTTCAACTTTCGTTTGCTTTTTTAAGAGCAATTGCTCGATTTTAGGCGATATTTGATAATTATGACGAAATCATTAGGAGAGCGACTTTGAGTGAGATACCAAAATATATCTTTGTCACTATAATCTGTAACTCTCCATCACATTTAATCACGTGTGTCCATAATCTCTACATTTATATCTGTAAATGGTCAAAACGCTGCATCAAAGGAAGGTCAAAAGTGGCCACCAGGAATGTTCAGAACACAGTAGAGCAGGGCATTGACTATGGAGTAGATGAAGATTTTTAACTATCTTGTAGGAAATCCAACCGATTATTATATCGCCTAAGAAGAAAACGAAAGAATATAAGGTTTTGAAAAGCTATGCATACCATTTAATCTGGCAGCAGCAGAAGAAGCTACATGAGTCATGACTTGTATAATTATTTGCTCAAAAAAAAAAAAAGACTTGTATAATTATTTTCACTTCTAACCTAAAGCAGGAAGATGTATTTGATGCAATTTTGACTTTCTTCTGCGATATAATGTAGTTGACGAATTATGTAACCGATGGGGTATACGGTTTGATCATCGTTGTCGTTCTTAAACAATCAAGACAATGCAAACCTCTGTTGAATGAGTAACCAATAAATCATATTCTACATGTATTGTAAATGTTTCATCTACGGGCACTTATGGTCTTATTGTGGCAGTAATGGTCTGACCAATGCAAAAGGTCGATCTGAATTCACAGACATTAACAATTCCAACACAACTACTTTTGTCGGAGGTCGTCCACTCTTGAGACCACGCTCGATCAGCCCTATAACACAGGTTTAATGAGCACACCATCATCATTAAGGATAGGAAAGACATTAAGATTAAGGAATCAGAAAGAAGAGTATCATGAAAAATTACCAGGAGAGAGTTTTCTTCCGTTGTAAAGTTCTTTAGCTAAAGGATTAGCAGACCAGTGGTTCACAGCCACACGGCTAGTTGGTTGGAACCCTATGATTTTACCTTCGGATGACAACACTACCTGCTTCCATTAAAGAACCAACAATCATGAAGAGTTCAACTCAAGAAAAGATAAATATATGCTTGACATATTTTTCACTGGGATTACCTGGTAAGTAGCGATATTTTGCGCAGATGCTTTTGCGTCTTCATTGAGTTTCTCCAAAAGAGAAGATCCTGTACCGATGTGTTCTTCAGTGACTTTAGCTCTGCTAGTTTCTTTTAAGTAATCAGGAACTTCTCCGATCCAAACACCTATGCTGCTCTCTACGGTTATCTCTCCTACCCAAGAGTAAGCATCCTTGAGCTTGTTGACGACTAATCCACAGAATGACTCCAACTACACTCATTTGACGTCGCAGATTTTAGTTTTAAGAAAAGAAAAATAAATGAAACCGCGATAAAAGTGAAGACACGGATAATAACAGTAGTTAATGTTTAATTAATCTCAGTATAGAGAGTTCATCATACCTCGGAGGTATCTGAAGATTGATGAGATAACAGTTCACTCTCTGACCATGAGATATCTTGGCTTTTTCCAGGATACTTTCTCACGCTTTTCTGAGGGATAGAGAATTGAGCCGCAGCACTCACGGCAAGAAGGAGAATTCCACTGGCCATGGTGATAGATATCATTTTCAACAAAGACAATCCTCTCTGCCAATAGAGAGTAAACAAACCAAAAGAGTTCATACAAGTTTTTCAGGCAAAGCTATCAAATCTAAACCAATATTATTAAATCATAACATTTCACTAACATATGCTGCAAACTCTAGTAGTAAACATGAATACATTGTACAGACTGAAAACATAGTTTAGTCTGAAGCAGACTGATTAATTCAGCAAGTGATGCATCATGGAGAACACAAATAAAAAAAAAAAAAAAAAAGCGATTTACCAAACTTGGCTCTGACTATTTTACCAGTCACCAGAGTATCATTAGCCGAAACACTAGCTAGATTTTAGCAGTCCAATAGTAAAAATACCTTTTCACTGGGTAAGTTTGCATAATTTCCAAAAGCATCGCATGGTAGCTGTTTCCTGGGAAGTGTGTAGATATCTTCAAAGTAAATATCCAATGCTTCAGCCAATCCAACCTACAGAGTTTTACAACAAACGTCAGGAATGATGGGGACCTCATGAATTAACATGCGTGGAAACAAACATCTTAGTCACTACAGAGCACATAAAATGCAGCAGAACAAGAACTAATATTGCACCAGATCGTAGGATTGATAGTATCTTTCATCTTGCTAACTCTAATTGTCACACAATTTATCAGCATCTCCTTCTTGCGTCTATAGGGTAAAGGAATGACTACTTTTATAACAATGCCATTCCATGTCTCACAAAGCATCAGGAACAAAAGTCTAGATGGGGATGCAACACTTAAAAAGGGAAAATATCAATACCATTTGGGAATGAGTTAGAAGAACCTCCCACTTATTCTCACTAGACTTTCTCCAGCCTTCAAGCTTTACATCCCCAAGTATTGCTCTATCAACTTCTAGTCGATACGCAGGTATATACTCACTTGCCCAATTACTAAACCCAGGACCACCAATCTTCTCCAACTTAGAATCACCAGACAAGTTCCACCACCGACTTCTTCTCCTCCTTGTGTCCGCAACTTTCAAATTATCCTTCCTCGATTGAAAATACTCAAGCAACTGGTCTTCATTCCCGTCTAGCTCATCATCCAACACCTTATGCAAAACAACCGAGGAGTCTCTTGAAGCAATCCTCCTACGTTTCTTTAACCACTTGAAAAACGGAAACTTAGCTTTCCCAAGATAATCATCAAGAAAATGCTTCTCAGTGTTTTGAAGAGCGGAGATGCATATAACTTCTGCAATAACAGACATAACCCGCTCATCTGATGAGCTTACACTGAACGACGTCGAAACCTGCTGATACGAATAGAACCCATCAGTAAGTATCAAACTATCATTACAAACATGACATGGAAACGAAGCTAACCTCACGAGGGTTTTGGTAATCTCCCATTTCTCTTTCAGCACCAGGTCCAAACAAAACAAGCTGAAAATTCCAAAGCTGTCGGAGAACCACTTGTCTAAAAGTCATCGCAAGTATGTTCTTCGACAAATCTCCATCAGAAACATCCTCGGAGAGAGACCTCCGCAACCTCTTAGCTCGCTCTTTAACTTTCTTCGTAGGCAAAAACTGTAATCACCACAAAAAAAGAGATCTTGAGATTGTCACAAACATAGAATCAATATCTAAAAAAAACTCAAACTTTACCAATCGGGTTGAGACAGTAGCCTTCGGGTCGGATCCTCCGGGGAAAACAGTCTCAACCACCATGACGGGAACGTTATCACGGAGGTGATCATCGGCTGCTTCGCCACCGTCGGCTGCAGCGGCGGTTAAAGCTTGTTCGAAGGCTACTGTGCCGACGAGGCTGAGGCGAGATGAGGTGTTTTCGTAGGTACGCACGCAGGGAAGTGTGTTTCCGTCGGAGTTTGATACGAAACGGAGAATGTCCTCCTCGCTGGTGGTTGTGGTGGACGGAGGAGTGTTCTTAAAAGTACAGCGAGTGAAAGATACGAAGCTTCTCTTGAGTGGAATTGAGGGGAAAGATGTGAAATTTCGTGAAGGGAAGAGAAGAGAAGGAGAGGTTGAAGTTGAAGCCATTGATGATGGAGTGATTAAAATTCACAGGTCCTAAACCCTAAGGGGGTTTGAGGTGAGGTTGAAGAAGCAACCCAACGCAGTCGTTTTAGTTACAAACTGAGAGAGAAAGTGAGCTTCTAAGAACGTACACGTGTCAGTGTCATTTTGTAGCATAAACTGAGAGAGGATGTGATCAATCAAATGCCGTCGTTACAGTATTTATTGGGTCTAAAATAGATATTTTACTCCGGATCCATACCCAAAAATCAGAACCGCATCTAAAAATATCCAACACTGAAATCCAACCGAAATTTATAAATATTTATTAGATCCAGAATTCTTTTATTGAAAGAACTGAAACCGAAAAAAATCGATCCGAATAGATCTGGACTCAATAAGAAGAATAAATTGGATCTGGTAAGAACTAATTTATATCCAACTTAACAACATAAATATCTCAAAGTGTAATTTTTTTTATATTCTATTTTCTATATTTAATTTATGATTTTTTAAAAAATATCTTTTTGCTAATATTTTTTGTTATTATTTTCTAATAATTTTAATTAATATGACTTTTTAAAGAGAAATTTCATAGAATAAATCTAAATTTTTTTTGTCACAAATATAAACTTAAAAATTAAAATGACCGAAACAGACTTATATATTTTCTAAAAAAATAATTAAGTGTATACTTATACCTTTTGGATTAACTAAGCATATATTTCTTTGTTTAAAATTGAGGAGTGGATTTTGGGATAAGATTTCAAATTAATTTTTAAAATAAAAAATAATATTTTGATTATTTTATTATTTGAGTTATATTTTCTATTTTTGTGATAAAAACTTAAAAAAAAACTATTCGAGAGAATTGTCCATTTTTAAATGTAAATTTTAGTTATTAATTAGCCGGGGATATATGCCTTTTTTTCTTGGTTGCACAAATAAAAACACTGTCATGGCATTTTGTCAACCGACACGTGTCAGTGACTATTAGTTATAATAGGTTACATTCCAACATCCGTAGGATAACGAAGACGACGACGACAATAATGTCTGAGAAGAGCCAAATCCCCGATAACAACAACAACAACGCCGCTTCTTCCTCGTCGGCGGGGAAGAAACCGGCTACGGAGATCGGATCCGGATCGAGCTACTCGGGTCAGAGGAGGACGTATCCTAACAGACCAGAGTCGGTGAATCCGGATCAGGCGACGCTGAGGGAGCAGTGGAAGTTCGCTATAAGGCAGTACAGCAAGTGGTACTCACACGCTTGGGGAACTGCGATACTAGCGGGAGGAGTCTTCTTCGGACTCGGTTGGATCATCAAAGGCGAGAATCCTCTTCCTTCGCTCCAATCGAGTTCTAAGTCTCCTAAACCCGACGAAGAAAAATGATTTACAGGTGAGTTTCATGTTGTTCAATTAAGAATCTCGGTTCTTAGGGTTTAGTATATATCTTATTGATATGAGTTTAGGATTGATTTGGAACTGATGACAAATATTAAATGAGACTTGAAACAGTTTTTGATTGGAGATTAATGAACCATACATATATATATATTTCTGTTAATCAATTTAAGGGGTACATATTAGTTGCCTAAGTTTTGGGGGCCATGACAAATATTTCATCTTGCTGTGTTTCAGTAGCATTAACCTTAGATAACATAGAAAATGAAGTTCCGTTTCCCAAGTACCAAATATTTAGGATATTCCGGAGTTTGTATTGCATTCAAAATCTTGCAATTTTTCTTCTTTTTTTGTTGAATTTAGGATAAGTCATTACTAGACATATCTTGCAATTGAAAGAAACATTTCAACGCATATTTGGTAGGCTTTCACGCTTAACTCCTACAAACTGATATGGTTGTTTTAATTGCAGATGGGGAAAAGCAGGATGAGATAAGAGACGATGCATCAACAATGGCACATCTACATTTCAAGTATCATCGATCGTTAGAAGCAAAGAGAGAATGAGAAGGAGAGAGCACAAAGCAAGAGATTGTAGAGTAGAAACTTAACACACAAAAAACTTGAGTGTGAACTTTGTTTGTCTGATAATTTCCAAGAATGTATGTATACAAATATGCAAGAGATAAATGAAAATGTTGATGTTGAATAAATAAAGTACAAGAAAGAAAAAGAGAAGACAAAGTGTATCTAAGCAGAGCAGCAACCAGGTTTTTTAACAGCTGAGATATCTCCGACATTAATCGTCTGTCCTTTAGGCAAAGCAGTGGTTGGATCATCTCCAGCTTCAAGTGCTTTCTTGCTAACCACTCTGTAAATCTCTGTCAAAACTTCTGTGAAAGCATTCTCAACATTAAGAGCTTCAAGCGCAGAAGTCTCCATGAAAAATGTGTTCTCTCTCTCCGCAAACCCCTTAGCATCTTCGGTTGAGATAGCTCTAAGATGACGAAGATCAGCTTTGTTACCAACAAGCATAATCACAATGTTTGCGTCAGTGTGGTCCCTTAGCTCCTTTAGCCATCTCTCAACGTTCTCAAACGTCACGTGACGTGTCACGTCGTAAACTAGCAACGCACCAACTGCTCCTCTGTAGTATGCGCTCGTGATGGCTCGGTACCTAAAATGAAGATATGTTAATTAAAAAAAGTGTTGAAACACGTTCTTGGATTAACTTTTGTACCGTTCTTGGCCAGCTGTGTCCCATATTTGAGCCTTGACGATCTTATCATCGCATTGGATGCTACGTGTGGCGAACTCAACACCAATGGTGGCACGTGAGTCGTTGCTAAAGTCATTTCTGGTGAAACGAGATAGCAGATTAGATTTTCCGACACCGGAGTCTCCGGTTAATACCACCTTGAAGAGGTAATCATAATCATCTTCTGCTCTATATGCTCCCATGTTCTATCCAAAACTAACCTCTTTGTCTTTATGTGTATGTTCTTGAGACGAGTTATCTTCAACAATGAAGAAATGTTATTTGAATGTTTCAAGAACTTAGGATGAGAATACTCGAAATATTTGTTTTTGTTTTATGTTGTTTTGTAACGTTTTCTAAATTGGAGAGGATAACAATTTCGGTTTTGAATTTGAGAAGACAGAGAGAGGTACCAGAAATTCAAGGAATCTCCTCTATTTCAGATAAGCTAAACATAAACATTTCTATTTATTTTTTGTATTGTGTAAACAAGAAAAGAAGAAAAAAAAAAGACTCATGTTTCGTGCATTTACAAGTATATTCTTCTTCTTTCAATCTTCTAATGATTCTGTAAGGAGACAAATCTCTCTACTCATACACATAATCAAAGACTGGGACGTCACAACACAGAGGACCTTCCTCGTTGTGCAGATGGCCAAAACAAGTATCACAGAAATAGCAATGATTCTCATTTCCCCACTTGTCATCCAATACAACCTTAGAAGCTCTATATATCTTACAAACGCTGCATTTCTGAGCTCTCGTTTTTAACTGATATATCAGTCTCGGGTAAGCCGCTCTGTTCTGAACATCCTCTGGATGACTCAGCCTCATGTCCCTTATTACTATCATGTGCTTGCAATCTCCCTGATGACAGTAAAGATAACTAGCTCCGAGTCTGAATCTTAAATCACAGAAGCGTGTACGCTGCATCTCTGCAGATCCAAAACGAGGTAAATCCATGGCTTTCGTTACTCCTAGAGCCGTTCTCTGCTTTTGCTGTAGCTCTCCGGTTATAATGCCTTCCCACTTTTTAAGTGCTTCATCTTTTGAGTTCCATAACCAATTCAATATAGGTTTGCTGTAATCTGTGGCCGAGCGATTCCTTAAATCATTGTGAAAGATATCCTAAACAAGTAAAAAAGCATCTAGTTAAATCACACAAGAACTAAACTAAGCCAGCCAATAACACATAAGAAAAATGAAAAAGTTAAAGTCTTACTTCAATGAGGAAGTATCCAGAGGGATCATACTTTCCAGCCTTTTGCATCACCTGGTCTGTAACACAGTGTATCTTGTCCTTTAACTCAGTTAACATTTGACTTCCTAGAACCAAAAATTCCTGGATCTGCAAAAAATTCACACAGATTGTTAATGGTGTTACATATGCCACTTGCATCTATGTCTAATCAATTATAACAATTGAACAAGACTTTTGTATCCATATGGGCTGAAGAAGAGGCTTTGATTTCTCACAAGAATATATTATATAGCGCATTTAAGATTTTACAGAAGAATGAAGTTACCTTGAATTTGCGACTGTTATAAATCTCAACACACAAAATGACTTCAGGAAATAGTGTAGCTACTGTCCCCTGGATGTCTGATGGCTTCACCAGCTGTGTATATAGGAAGATGATAAATTGTTTAGCAGGATGAATGAGCAGTGAGTACCAAAACTCAAAAAAAAAAAAAACTGAAAGGGAAAAGAATCACTTGCCGTATAGTTATCAATGGACTTGAGAGATTGCATCTTCTCAAAGCCTTCTAGAGATGTACTTGCATCTTCAGCATCTTCCCAAGTTTCGCTGAACCAAAGTCAAAACTGTGTGAACATCACCACAAAAACATACATGAGCGAAGTAGAGTATGCAAATTAGTAACCACAGACCTGAAGCAGTGTAGCCTCACATGTGCTTTATCCTCATCCTGCTTTTGTTTGAGTTTAGCAAGCTCCTCTACTTTTGCTATATAAGCTTCCTGAAAAAAAAAAAAAATCAATTGTAAAACATTGAAAACAAAGACCACGCCCAACGCTCATAGTGAAATCTAAGTTTACATAAACTCTCACCTCAGGTTTCTTAACTATTTTCTTCACCTCAGTCTTCTTCTTCACCTTAGCTGTCTTTACAGTCCTCCTTCTCTTCCTACTTGTTCCATTCTCAGCTGATGGATTTTCACTGCAGGACGCATCTAAAAATCGTTACTTTTAGACTCTAGAATCTCTCTGACTATTTCACAACCTATAATAAAAGTATACAAAAGCTACATGATTCCCTAATTCGATTTTCTACCAAAAGACTCACACAAGAAACAGATAACTTACGGATGAGAAACAACGATGAGAGACTGTTCGTTTAGAGAAAGAGAATCATCGTCATCACCATCTTGTATCTGTAAAGAAAGGTTATCATCTTCCTTAAAGGCTTCCTTCATAGCCATATCAGTGAGTTCCTCATCAGTATAAATCTTTAAACCATCAATTCTGCATCATCCACAACAACAATCCCAAAATTACATTCATTGATACTGATTAAAAAAAAGATATAATAGAGCTTCTTACGAGAGATCATATTGGTGAGAAGAGGAAGGTAAGTGAGTTTCCAAATCGTGGAGGAGAGTGAGATACGAAGATTGAAACTCGGGCACTGTAGAAACTTGTCCGACCATGTTGGGGAGATAGATTGGGCCTCCTCTTGGTATCCCTGAGGTAGCAATCTCTTCTTCACTGCTCTCCCTCTCCATCGTATTTTGATTGAGAATTTTGAGTTTGTTACGAGTCCTCGCTGAATTAGGGTTTTAGAAGGATTTGTAAATTAAAAAGGAAGGAAGGTTAAAGAAGTAATTAATTCAGCGAGGACTCGTAATCCTGAGAGGAGGTACCAAAATCGTCCTGTCCTCTCGCAAACAAACGAGACTACGGAAGAAGAAGAAGTTGTTTCCTTTGGTCCGATATTTATATATATAACCCGGTTTAGTTGTTTCACCGGCGGTTAACAGTTATTCGAATTACTGTTCGATTTAATCATCAAACCGGCTCCTTTCAACAAACTAAGCGAACCGAACCAAATACATTTAATTTTCATTCGAATAAGATATATAAGATAAAACTATATTTTAATTGACAAAATATATATATTTAATATTTAATAGGCTTATTTGTGTAATAACCATATTTGAAAGATAAATTAGGTGAATAACTGTTGTTAAAAAAAAAAAATTGTTGTTAAAAAAAAAATTAGGTAAATAACATTGATTTTAACTAAATCCTAAATCATAATCTCTAATCACTAAAGCATAACTCAAATATGAATCCTAAACTCAAATATCAAAATTTAAAAGATACATAATATTTTATAATATCAGACTATACGATATAGATCATAATACGTTCCCAAGAAGAAGAAAAAAAGTAAAGTTGGTGGAATCACGAATTGAACTCGTCCATATCTGTTGACTAAAAAAAAAAAGAACTCGTCCATTATCTACATGTTATAAAAGGATAACCATATACCTGGTCAATCAAAAGAGCTAAGTTTAATTTGATACCTCACCAAACAGAAGAACCAAAAAAAAAAAAAACTCTCTCTCTCTCTGAATTAGGGTTTGCTTGGCCCTCACACAGAAGGAAGGTTTGGTACGAAACTTGATTTGATTACTTGGTTCTATTTCCTTGTTTTCTTTCATCTAGAAGATCTTAATTTGTTGTATAACTAAACTTTGTGTGGTGTTTCATCTTTAGCAGGAGAAATTAATATCAAAAAGGAATATGAAAAATCTTGGTGAATTGCCTGATGATCTATTGATGAAGATTTTGTCATTGCTTCCAACACAAGAGGCTGCGGGTACCAGCGTTTTGTCAAAACAATGGCGTTATCTTTGGAAACAACAAGATGTTAATTATGTAAAGCTTTGTAAAGAATGCTCAGCCTACTGGAATTCTTGTATATTTACACAATCTCTAAAGTTTCTTCACAAGCATCAGTCAAACCGTCGGAGGAGTTATAGCCAGTTTGTTAGTTTGACTTTGAATTTGCCTATCAAACGTCAAGCTTATCTCGTAGGGTGTGCTGAGTGCAAAGGAAGAATACATGCACCTAAAAAAGTAACCGTTTTCGTTTTAGGTCGAGAGTCGAGAAACACGCACGCTTTTATATGGACCAAAGAAAAACATGCGATCGAAGTTGAGTATGTTGTCAGGGGGAAGATAGTTTCAGAAGCCTACCAGAGGCTAAACACTCGCATCCACAACTGATGCATTTACTTAAACCAGTCACGCTGTTATATATTTCCGTGTCAGTAAAATTAAACAAACCACAGTTTTTTTTTTTCATCGTTTTTAGTTAGAGGATTGTTTTTTTACTCTCTTATTCTATCACTTTTTTTTAACAAACTGTAGTGTGGCCCTAAGTACATTTTGTGTGGATCTCTTCTACTCCTGAATTTTCCCTTAACCTATATCTTCAACTCCGGGCACTAAAGTGTCCTCTTGGTCTTACGAGGGCCAAATGCTGACATTTTTATCTCCACGTTTCATGGTTTAGCTTTAGGCTTTTGGATTAAGTCTCCATCAAAATTTGAACTGATGAAAAACGAATGCCTTTCAAGTTTCAACTAGTGAAAGAAGATTCTGTATCCACGGATGCAAAGCCAAGGCAGGACCAATCGAAAGCAGGAGTTGCATAAGGACATCCTTGAGTAAGCAATGAGCCATCGTCTGGTGCGTGCCTTCGGTTAAATGATAACTATTCCAGTTAACGTATTCTGATTGATTTGGACAACATAAGGGCATCATTATTGCAAGGTTCTTAAGGTAAAGTCCTTAATACACATATATGTATATGTATATATTGTATAAGCGTATATAATTATATGTTAAGGACTTTACCTTAAGAACCTTGCAATAATGATGCCCTTAGAGCACCTTTATCGCCGTATGTTATAGCGTCTCTTAAGCTAATTTTGTTTTAAAAATAAATGAAAAATACATATTTACCGAACAGACGTATCCTAATTAGGAGAAGAAGAGTCCGTATCTTCTTGGCCACGTGTCTGCGTTAAAAAGACGAAGTGTTTCGATTCTACCTTCTCTTCTCTTCTCTTCCTCGCTTCCTTCCTCCCTTCGTCTCTATCTCTTCCTCTCTCCCCGGAGAAACCAACAGCTATGGCACCGACACGCCAATCCGAATCGGAGTAATGGGCTGCGCCCAGATCGCCCGCCAATCTCACGTGCCATCCACCTCGCTCCAAACGCCACCATCGCCGCCGTCGCAAGCCGTTCCTTGGAAAAGGCCAAGTCTTTGGTCAGCTTAAAACCGTAAGTTTTTCAATTTGATTTCGTTGAAAGTCATTCTGGTTTCTTCTGTAGAAATAAAGTCTCTAGCTTTTATGAAAATTATTCTGTTTCTTGTGTGTATTCGATGTTCATGAGAATCGTTCAAATTGGTGCAGGTTAGGGAATCATTGAAAATGGAAGAGGAAGCAAGAAATGGAGGGTTTCGGAAACACATGAAACCATCTGTATGTTTCTTATCTTCCATTGATCTTTTCTGATGAATATGATCTGATTTTGTAGTAGTGATTAGATAAAAAAATTTTGTTCTCTGTTTTGAGGTTTGGTTAATGTTTACTTTTGATGAATCATATCCGTGGTATTGACCCTGTTCTTACAGCTTCTTGAGTTGAAATAGATTGTCTCCTTTAATTTACAAGTGTTTCTCTGTTTTGATTTGCTTATCAAGTCTTAGTTGATTGTAAAGTTTGGTTCTTTTGATCTTGTTGTTGGCTGTGATTCCTGAAGTGATCAATTGATATAATTGTATGGTCTTTGAGTACAGTTCTTAGGATTATTACTTGTATACAAATAATTATGATGACCCATTTGACTTGTTTAACATATCAGTATTTATCATGTTTGGCGCAGTCTTGCTTGAAGAGAAAAAGCACATAAACACAAACACATATGTTCTTCGTTGTAGCTTTATTGCGTTAAAACCTTTAAAGAAGTCAAAGCTCAAAGAAACAAGAGGAAGATGATGTTCATGTTCATCCATCTAGTCTCAGCTGCGGGAAAAGTTTTATTTATCTCCTCTTCCTTTTTAATGTTGTTGTTGTGTTGATTGTTTCCTTTTGTATATGTGTTACAGAGTGTCCACTGGACTTGACTTCATCAAACTTCATTCTCGTTGCTTCCTCCAACAACACCCATCAAACTTCACTCTGATTGTTCTGTAAATTTGGTTGCTTTGGATCATGTTTGAATGAATACTTGCTACTGTAATGGTATGGGAGATGGTAGTATGGAAGATAGGGCAAGTGTTAAGAATGTTTAATTTTTTTTTTTTAAGAACCTTTAAATAAAAGACTTGCAATGGACCACACAAATATATATGTCTCTTAACTAAGTCTCTTAAACCACTTTTCTAACTAAAAATTATTAAAAAAAAAATAAGAACCCTTAAATGAGTATGTGGGATAATGATGCTCTTAGTATCCACCACTCCATGCATTAAAACATCAATTAAAGTATCAAACCGCGAGAGTCAAGGATAGAGAGTAACAAAGGCCCACGAACGGAGCCTAATACAATTAGTTTTGATCGAATAAATCTTAACTAGATTTTTAACTCGCTCGCGGATATCATTTTTGTTGTTTTATCTATAGATGGTCGATAAGTTTTTTTTTTCTTCGATGATATAAAATTTTCTTGTCTAATATAACTTTCTAAAATTTTTTGTAGATTTTAATTTATTATTATCATGAATATCTCTGTAAATGTATTATATGTAACTGTGTAGTTTCATTTTGGAAAAATAATCTCAATTAACTACGCTTGGTGCTGGGAAGCGGGTCAAACTCGCCCTGTCCGACCCACAAAGAAAATATTTTTTATACGTTCCGCCCCACTTAATTTTGCAGATATAATCCACGGGACCTGCGAATGAATATTAATAATAAAAATAATTATTTTTTTTCTAAAAAATAATATTAAATAGTATATTTTTAATTTATTTTAATTTTTTTTTAAAATAATTATTTTATCAAAATTTAGTATATTTTTGAAAAATATTTTTTTATAATTTTTTTTTCTATTTTTGCAGATTATCGGATACCCACAATTGAAATTAGAACAATCTGTTCTGCGTAAAATATATTTGACCTGCACCCGCAACTTAGTTTTTTCAAATATCGATTGACCTGTTTCGTGGCGGATCGAATGGGGCAGAACCAGCGGATTAATAATTAGAAGGTGAATTTGGTCCATTAATAAAACTCATTAGTATATAGTTATTAGGCCCAGGATAAAAAGACAAAATTACCATTAATAAAAATTTAAATTTGTTCATAATATTAAAGATATTTTTGGAAAACATAAAAATCTCATTAAAGGGAGTGATAACTATTGATTTGATAAAAATAAAATAAAATATTTACATCTGCTAGTAAAAAGGAAATACGTTCCCAAATAAAAGGTAAGTTGGAATCACGAAATGAACTCGTCCATTCTCTCCATGTTACAAAGGGAAAACCATATTATAACTAAGTCAATCTAAAGAGCTATAAGTCTCTGTGAATTAGGGTTTACTTGGCCGTCACACACAAGGAAGGTTTGGTAAGAAAATTGATTTGATTTCCAAGCAGTAAAACGTTAATAACAATAGTCTCTGTGAATTCAATTGTCTCTGTGAGGGTTCAGGAAGGTTTGGTAAGAAACTTGATTTGCTTACTTGCGTCTATTTTCTTTCCATCTAGTACTGGATTTTTATTTTATTTTTGAGAATTACTAGAGGATCTTTGTTGTAACTAGACTTTGTGTTCATGTTTCAGTGTGTAATCTTAATATCAAAAGGAATATGAAAACTGATCTAAGTGATTTGCCCGATGATCTATTGGTGAAGATTTTGTCATCTCTT